TTTTTTTTCATTATTTGAATGAAAATGTGACAACATTGTATTATGTATTGTGATGAAATTCGGAACACTTGAAAAAGAAATGAATTTATTGAGAAAAGATTAAAATCAACGCATCACAAATGCAGTGACGCAATACTATATCAATAATTAACGCGTGTTCCTGTGATGTAATGATTTGCATAACACGATGACTCGTACGCATATTTTGCATTATGACTATACATACCATAGTTGCATTGTCATAAATAGCGGTGAACATGAATTTGACTTGGTAACGCGGTATCACAAACTACGTACGTACAATCACACAGTACGCTCGTTAACCTCTGAACAAACCATGTTTCAATCGCATTGTCCTCTGATAAGCTTCGGCTGTACTCGACCAACAACATGAGTTTTGAAGACATTTTAGTCATCCTTGGGGATTTCGGTCGTTACCAGAAGTACCAAGTTTTACTCATATCCCTGGCCATCTCGGCGAGTGCTTGGTATGACATGGGTAACGTCTTCCTCAGTGGGTCGTCCGATCACTACTGCCGAATTCACAAAAACCAGACGTATCGCATAAACTCCCCATTGAAGAACTGTACGATTCCGTACAAGATTGATAAGGGTGTAATTGAATGGTCGCAGTGTGTTCGCTATAACAGGACAGTACCTGAATGTCACGAGGGAGGCACGGATGTCATACGTTGTGACAAAGGATGGGTATATGACACCAGAGCGTATGAGAGAACCGTCGTACATGACGTAAGTACATGCCTGTGATAGTAAGAAGTTGTGACGTCATAGGGAACGTACCATTATATATGTCAGGGAATTGCTCTACAATTTAAATGTAATCGATGGTGGTGTCATGTAGTGTAGTGTAGTGTAGTGTAGTGTAACTAACATTTTTATGGTTTCAATAATATAGACTCATTCTTTGTTGGACATTCTAGTTTGACCTGGTGTGTGACAACGACTGGATGAAACAGTTATCTAAATCACTCTCACAAGTTGGTGCACTATTTGGCTCATATATACTAGGCCAACTAGCAGATAGGTACCATCTGTTTTTTTCTTCTTCATTTTATGTATTAAGGTAGACATGCAGTTTACCTGACAGGTATTTTAATTAGTTAAATAGGAAACCAAGATGACCTCCCTTGTCCACAAAACTATATATTT